TGAGTTATAAATTAAAAAAAGAAACAATAAAAATGATCTTTTTAGAATAAAAAATGACTAATATTGTAGTGTGTGTATTTCACCTCAATAAATTTTTAAATGTGAATAGTCTAAGCACTTCAATTAAACAGCACAGATTTTCAGACTGAATTTAAGAAACACCCAATTGTATGCTGCTTATGAGAAACCCATTTTAAATAGAAAACCACAAATAGGTTAAATGTAAAATGATGGGAAAAGACATAATATGCTAAAACTAATTAAAAGAAAGCTAGAGTGGGCATATTAATATCAGACAATGTAGAATTTGAAAGCAAAGAATACTACCAGGGACAAAGGAAGTCATTTTGTAACAATAAGGGGATCAATTAAGAGTACAGAACTGAAAAAGAGAAATAGAGAAGTTCACAATTACAGCCATCTTAAAGACAATTAGAGATTATAAACTTAAAACATTGCAACAGAAAATGAAATACATAAATGTACTCAAATACACCTGGTAATTTAGTATATCTAAAGGTGACATTTCAAATAAGTGGAAAAAATGAATTATTTGTAAATGGTGCTGAGAAATGGGGTAGGCATGTAAGGGTAAAATTAGGTTCTTAGACACAAAAAAATTAAATGTAAAAAAAATAAAAGCACAAAAATAACAGAAATCTGGAAAATTTTACAATTATTTTAAGACACAAGGGTCTTTTAAACATGAATCAAAACTCATACTCCTTAAGAGAAGGTACTGGTAAATTAGAGAAATAACATAACATTTAATTTCACATGGCAAAAGAGGACCATAAACAAATTCAAAAGACAACTAGTAAACTGGAAAAAAAATATTTTCAAATCAGATCATAAAGTGCTGATGAGATCTAAGTAAAAGGTGAATTAATATTCACTTTCCAACTGAATATTAATTGTGAAATAGATAGTTCAAAGAAAAGAAGTTCAAACTCATTCATATTTTTTAAAAATGTATTAAAAACTATACTGAGATATAATTTTCCACCTATAATGTTGATAAATATCCAATAGTTTAATGGTTAGACCTAATAGGTAAGAAATTTATTCTCAGCATACACTTTAAAAATATACATGTAACAGTATACTAGGGTTCTCTTTTCTCCACAGCCTCATCAGCACTTGTGGTTTTTTGTTTTGTTTATGATGGCCATTCTGACCAGTGTGAAGTAGCATCTCACTATGGTTTTAATTTGCATCACTCTGATGGCTAGAGATGCTGAGCATCCTTTCATATGTCTCTGGGCCCTGTGTATGCCCTCTTTGGAGAAGTGTCTGTTCATGTCCTTTGCCCATTTTTTAATTGGATTATTTGTCTTCCTGGTGTGGAGTTGTGTGAGTTCTTCAAATATTTTGGAGATCAAACCTTTGTCCAAGGTATCATTGGCAAATATCTTTTCCTATACAATTGGTTCCCTTTTCATTTTGCTAACATTAAGAATCCTGAAACACAAATTCAGAAGAACTTATGTTCTTCTGAATTTTCATGGCATTCAGTGTTCATGACAGCACAATTTACAATAGCCCAGTACTGGAAACAGCCTAAGTACCCATCAGTAAATGAGTGGATCAAAAAAACTGTGGTACGTTTACACAGTGGAATAGTACACAGCAGAAAGAAAGAAGGAAATCCTACCCTTCACAACAGCATGGATGGAACTGGAGAGCATTATGCTAAGTGAAATAAGCCAGGTGGTGAAACGCAAATACCATATGATCTCACCTAAAAGTCGAACCTAATTAACAAGACAAACAGGCAAGCAAAATGGAACCAGAAGCATGGAAATAAAGAACCAACTGACAGTAACCAGAGGGGATGGGGAAGGAGGGAAATCGGGGAAAGAAGAGGAAGGGTCAAGTCGAGGAACATGTGTAAAGGACCCATGGACAAAGACAAGGAGGGGGAGGATTGAATGTGGGAGGTGAGGGTGTACAGGGGAGGGGGAGAATAATGGGGCAAAATGGGGACAACTGCAATGGAACCACAATAAAAAATATATATATATATACATGTAACAGTTATGAAAATTGATCACCCATAAGGCTATAAGGAAAGCCTCACTGAAATCAATATGAATTTCTAACTATAATGCAATTACTTTAGAAACAATAACAAAAAGGCAAACAAGATTTTTGAGTTAAAGAATACCTAAAGTATATTCTAATATATGCGGAGGTAAATAACAAAAACACTAAATGTCAAAATTGTAGGACACAACTTATGTTGTAAAGGAAAATGTATAGCTTTAAGTATATTAATTATTAGAAATCAGTGGGCTTTGTCTCTGTAATTCACTATTTTTATCTCCAATATCCAGATTAGAACAATGCCTGGCACACAGTAAGCATTCAAAACAAAAAATTTAAATAAAACACAAACACACATACAAATGCAAACTTTCTACTTAACGAAGGGTAAATTTTAAAAACTCTTAAATATGACAAGTAAAAATGACATAAACTAAAACAAAGCAGAAAGATACATTCAGCATACAAATTAAAAAAGGAAATCTAATGGTTCATGATTGATCACAATGAACAAAATGGAAAGGGATTCGTCACCAGTATGTCCTAAATTAACTGATCTGGAACGTACTAATGAAGCATGAGTTTTTAATAATGCTAAAAGAACAAGTCAATATATCACAAGACAATGGGTTGTATAGCTGCAAATAAACAGTACCTCCCTGTGAGGAGAAACACCAGAGCATAAACTACAAACACCTATGCTAAAGGAATGGATATAAAGATTTTATTAACATTATGAATGAAGTTTAACTGTAAAAACAAAGAATCAGTCGGTGGTTTGGGTACCATGGAGGAAGAAATCAGGTGCCATACTTAGATCAGGAATTAATTAGTGAATAACTCAGACTCTTCAATTGTGTGTCATTATTCTTTTTCCTTTAGGCTTGGTAAGTTTACTGTAATCTTGGGGAGCTTTCAAAATAAGTTATTACTCAACCCTTAGAAAGTATTATAATAAATGTTCCTACACCTACAAGAAATATAAGGAATAAAGAAATGTAGACATGAATTTAGCTTATGATATTAATATATTTTTGATTTAATGTAAAATGTTTGACAATATTTTATTACATTTGTTTCTGTTCGGTGTCTGAAGTATTCAAATATATATATTAAATCTGTACTTTAAAGTTGTTTAAAGGTAATTTGTCTTAATACTTAAGAAAAATAATTTTCAGATATTTGTAAGATATAAGTATAAATTGGCTATTAAAGAAATAGTGAAAGTAGTGGCCACTGTTGCAGTCCATGCACCCATGTAAGTCTTCACTCTTTCCTAGCTCTTTTGTTCTGCTCTGCTTTTATACATTATCTCCAGACAATGCCCAAGGTTCCGACTGGTTCTAACTATTTCCATATCATCCAACTACATTTCCATAACATCAAGGTTTACCTCCCCACATCCACCCATAAAATAGGAATACACTTCTTCATACCCTCATGTTCACCAATACTCTGTAGAATGTTAATATTTATTCTCTAAATATTTTAGACTCCAACTTATTTTTACCATTATTTGAAAATAGCTTATTCTATCTGCCAGTAATGTCTTTATCTGATGTCTTGAGTTGCAAAGAAGTTATCCATCAATTTTTTTTAAAGATTTTATTTATTCATTTTTAGAGAGGGGAAGGGAACGAGAAAGAGAGGGAGACATCATGTGGTTGCCTCTTGAGTGCCCCTCTACTGCAGACCTGGCCCGCAACCCAGGCACATGCCCTGACTGGAAAGTGAACTGCTGACCATTTGGTTCACAGGCCAGCGCTCAGTCCACTGAGCTACACCAGCCAGGGCTCCATAAACTTCTTAAATGAAGTTTACAACCCACCCACAAAAGACCTCATTTTCAATTCTATCTTACATTCTACCACAGACTTTGTTTAAACACATGCCAAAAGCAGAAAATTAAATAATTTCTTTAAAATGAAAAGTCATTCACTAAATTGATGAATCCGTTATTCTCTTAACTTGTCATTCTTTCTTTGAAGGCCTAAGGTGAGTCACTTGCCATAAATAATTTTAATTCCTTATGAGAAAGCCCATTAAGGAGTTTTACTAGGTGAATTAAAAAAAATTCATCCTTATTGTGAAACAGAGTAATAAATACCAAATTAATTATCAACAAATAAAATGAAACAATTCTATCAGCTTTATGAAGTTTTGTATTGAACTTCTGCATATTTGTTATATCACAACTTTTCAGAATAAATAATTATGCCATATAAAAGATCAAGGCTCTCTTACTTGTGTAGCAAATATATGGTATATGCATCAGGGCTCTAATTCCAAGATATATAAATCCAGTTAAAATTAACTAAAGCAAAAAATAATTTTTTTTTTTACTGGCTCACAAAAATGAAAAAGTGAGGGATAGTGTAGAGTTCAGACATGACTGCATCCAAGAGCTCAAACAATGTCATCAGATTTCTGTCTCTTACCTCCATTTTTGTCCATGTTTCATTTATCTTGGAAAAGCTTTTCTCATGTAATGGCAAAAAAAAAACCCCAAAAAACAAAAAACAAAAAACTCTGCTAGTAAGTTTTTAACCTTACTAAATCCTTGAAACTTGCAGTTAAAAAAATCCTCTTATTACCCATAATAATGCCTGCTACAGCTCTATTGGTCCAGATAGGGTCATTTGCCAATCCCTTCTTAATCACTAGGTTGAGGGAAATAACTGGCCAGCCTACGACCAATTCACCGTCCTCCCTGATTAATAGTTTCACCAGAATCATATGCATTGAGGGGGAGGTATGTCTCAAAAAGGGCACAGAACAGATCACAAAGTAACAGATGTCTACTACTCAGGCTATTTCAAATAAGGGATGCTCATGAACTGAAGGTTTTTCCATATGTACTACATTCATAGAATTACTAAACAAAGAATTCACTGGTATTTATTTAATAAGGACTGAGTGGTGACTGAATGTTTTCTTTCTTATACTTGTTATAGTCAGAGAGTTTTTCTATCATGAATTTTCTGATGTCGTCTAAGGGTGGAGGCACAGCTAAAATTATTTCCACATTCACTGCAGTTATAAGGTTTTTCTCCAATATGAATTCTCTGGTGTAGCCTAAGGGATAATATCTGATGGAAAGCCTTCCCACATACATTGCATTCATAGGGTTTCTCCCCAGTATGAATTCTCTGATGTTGATAGAGGTATGAGCCACAACTGAAAGCTTTCCCACATTTGTTACAAACATAGGGTTTCTCTCCTGCATGACCTCTCTTATGATGAATTAAAACTAAAGCATCATTGAAGGCTTTCCCACATTTGCTGCATTCAAAAGGTCTCTCTCCAGTGTGGATTCTACGATGTCGATTAAGTTGTGAATCAGTCCGGAAGAACTTCCCACATTTGATGCACTCATAGGGCTTTTCTCCAGTATGAATTCTCTGATGTTGATTAAGATGTGAGCGATAGCCAAAGGTCTTCCCACATTCGTTACATTTAAAGGGTTTCTCTCCTGAATGAATTCTTTGATGCAGAGTAAGGGCTATGCGTCTGCTGAAGGCTTTTCCACACTGATTACATTGGTATGGTTTCTCTCCAGTGTGAATTCTCTGATGTTGATTAAGGTGTGCACTCTGTCTGAAGGTTTTATTACATTCCTTACATTCATATGGCTTCTCTCCTGTGTGAATTCTCTGATGTTCAACAAGGAAGGCATAACGGCTAAAGGCCTTCCCACATTCATTGCATGCAAAGGGTTTTTCTCCAGTATGAATTCTCTGATGTTGAGCAAGGTGTGCATTCTGTCTAAAGGCTTTCTTGCATTCCTTACATGCATATGGTTTCTCTCCAATATGAGTTCTCTGATGTTCACTGAGAAAGAAGTCATGGTTAAAGGTTTTTTCACAGTCATTGCATGCATATGGTTTCTCTCCACTGTGAATTCTCTGAGGTTGAGTAAATAATGAGTAACAACTAAAGGCATCACCACATTCATTGGGTAATTCTCCAAAATGAGTTGTTTGATGTTGAGTAAGTAATGAGTGGAAACTTAAGAAATTTGAAAAATCATGACTTTCATAAGGTTTCTCTCCAGGAGGAATTCCTATATCTTTACTAAAGTATGTACTCTGTTTGAATTCTTTACATTCATTACCTATCAAAGATTCCTCCTCAGCACATCGTCTTCTATGTTCAATTAGGACTGAATTTGAAGGGAACATTTTATCATAAATATCAAATGTATGTACCCGCTGTAATGCAGAAACTCTCTGTTGTGTTAAAAGTACTGACTTCAAGAAAATATTTCTTTCAAAATTTTTATATTCATTGTCTCTTTTCACAGCATAGATTTCCTTAAAACTTGCCACTTGCCTGAAATGCCTCTCCTGATTTCCATGACACTGCTCAAATTCACCCTCATGTTTCCAAGTTTCTCTGAAACTGGAGTATTGAAAGTCATGACTTTTAAGTCTTCCCATTACTATGCCCTGGGAAATTTCCTCTTCATCAATGTACCATTTTGGAGATAATTCCTTGATTTCACACCAAGACTCCCAGTCTGAAAAATATCAAGAAAGCAAATGTATTCTTTTTATCTTTTGCAAGGAGAAAGAAAACTATTATAAAAGAAATTGAAGAATTTAATTGAAGTAATGAGGAAAGAAAGTACATCATTCTGACATCTCTCAAATGATGTTATACAAAATGAACAAAATACAAAAAAAGCACAAAGAATAAAAAGAACTGCTAAAGGAAGGTATATGTGTTGGTAATGAAGAGGAGGTGACAGGGGAAACAGGTTAAATGTAGGGCAGCAGGATGTAGACAAAGCCAGATGCCAAAAAGATAAAGAACCAGAGACAACTGATTTGATCACAATCACAGTTTTCCTGCATCTAATCTTTAAAGTCTCCAGTCCATCCTGCACTATCCAGCGCTATTCATAGGATGAAAAGCTCCACAAGGGCAGGGATTACTCTCTTCTTCTTCTTCTTCTTCTTCTTCTTCTTCTTCTTCTTCTTCTTCTTCTTCTTCTTCTTCTTCTTCTTCTTTTTGTGCTGCTGTATCCAGTGCCTATTACAATAGCAGCATTTTTTGAATCTATGAATGCTCACCGAATACTCAACAACTTTAAAATTTTATGAGACCAGAGGAGGGCAAAAAGTTTTCTCAGTGTGTAGTAGGAATCTAGAGGTGAACATGTCTCATCGTTAAGAAAACATACCTCAGGACATACTTGATATTTTCAGGAGAGGATACTAGTTGAGATAAAATAGAGAACTATTGCTTATAATATAATCTCAAAAAGAGAAAAACAAGAAAGTTGTTTTACTGTCAGATCACAATAACCAGGTTATATTCAACTATATGGAACCTACTACTAGAATACCTAGTAGAGGATAAAAAATGTCTGAGACACAGGTCTTCTCTCTTTTTAAAATTCTAATAAGAGAAAACTTCTGTGCATAAAAATTCAATATGGCATATAAACAATTAGTTAATATGGCCCTGGCTGGTGTGGCTCAGTCATTGAGTGCCAACCTGCGAATCAAAGGGTTTCTGGTTTGATTCCCAGTCTAGGGCACATGCCTGGGTTGCAGGCCAGGTCCCCAGTGGGGACACATGAAAGGCAACCACAACATTAATGTTCTCTCCCTCTCTTTCTCTCTCTCTTCCCCGCTCTAAAAAAATAAATAAAATCTTTAAAAAAACAATTAGTTAATATGATAATGATTATGAGTAGCATAAATGTCAGAAAAACGGAGATCAAAACTCTCTACCTTAATTAAGGAAGAGGGGCTTGATTTTCAAGGCTTTGCTGAGGGTTCCAAAATACAGTAATTATTTCAGTAATGGAGTCATTTTCACTTTGATGTGCTTAGTGATTATTTTCTCCACAGTTCCTCCTACATATAGCCATGGATATTCTCCTCCTTGGACCCATATCACAAGCGAGGCCTGGAAGGGATTTGTTCACTTATCCATGTTAGGTCCACACTTTCTTTCTACAGAAGAACAACTACTTTAGTTTCCTAACCTTCTCTCCTAAACATCTCCTGTATCTATCACTCAGGACCACTATATTCCCTCTTACCAACGGTAAATCTTTACTCTAGGAAAACAGTAGCTTTATGTGGTACCTATTGCAATGCTGGGTAAAACAAGCCTGAAGGAAGGATATTACACACATTTCTAAAATGGGGGATTCTGGGGTGCCTAGACTCCAACCACTCTCTTAAAATTAAAAAATAAAAAGAATATTATGGAGTTAGGTAAGCAGATAAACGCTACAACAGAAAGAACTCCATATAGGTTATTTCCAGTGGAAAGTATAAAACAGGAAATACATATCATCCATGTGGAAAATATATTCACTATGATTGAAGTAGAGAAATACTAAGAGGTCAATATATTTATGAGGGGAATATCAAGATGGTGGAGGAGTGAGTGGAAGTCACATTGACTTCCTCCCAGGACCAACCTGGAATTACAACTAAATTAGGGAGAAATCGTCTGGAACACACAACTGAACAATAGTGAGAGAGGAGCCTTTTAACCTCGGAGACAGAAGAATTGGCTTTAGCGCAATCTAACTGGTAAGGAGTACAGTACAGACCTGAGAAGGTGGGTGGGCACCCACAGGCAGCAGAACCAAAAGGATACTGAAACAGTGAGTTGGCCCCTCTGAGAAGAGCGGGGTCTAAACCAAAAGTAGAGATCTCTAGCTCACAGCACCAGAGCCCAAAATGTACACAGAAAAGAGCCAGCTGCAAAAAGCGGCAGGGTCACTCTCTGCCAGAGACAGGGGGCTGGAGACGCAGAGAGCCTTCTAAAGGGCCAACGCAAAATTTTTATTTGCAGCCACTTACCCTGGTCTCCGGCAAAGGCAGGGGCAGAGTGGGCTAGAGATGCCTGAGGAGAGACCGGGGAATGAGGCTTTGGGGAGACAACTGAGAGAGTAGCTGGTGAGACCTCACTGCGGACTCACCCCCATGCAGCGGCAGCCATCTTACGCAGGCAGAAACCACTCCACATGAGTGGCACCTGTGTCAAATGACCCACTATCCCGTCCCCAGGTGGGATTCGATGCTGCCCAGTGCTGTCTAAGATACCTGCTGAGTGCAGAGTGGCAGCCACAGACAGTAGATTCCTGGTTAAAGGGGGGCACAGAGTGGTCTACAAACACTTGAAGAGAGACTGGGGATGGAGGCTTTGGGGAGAGAATGGAGAGAGTAGCCAGCGGGATCCTGATGCGGATTCCTCCCCCATACAGCAGCAGTATGAAAGAACCCAATAACCCAACCCTGAGTTGTCTAAGGCATCTTGCTAAGTGCAGAGTGAATAGATTAACAGCTGAAGAAGACAGCCACAAACAGTAGATTACTGAAAGTCTCAAACAGACCACCTAAGGTCAGACAGGGTCAACATCTGACATCATCAGAGGCAGATCCAGAAACTACAAACAGTGGTCTCCAACCAGAAAAGTTCACACCACAAAGTCATAAAATCAAGACAAATTAACTTAAGAAGCAGAAGCAAAAGAGAAGAGTCTCATGAATAATGGGAAGACAAAGAAACACGCCTCACTCAAAGGGAAAGGAGGAATCCCCACAAAGAGAAGTAAAGGAAATAGAGGCAAGTAAATTATCAGATGTTGGTTCCGAACAACGGTTCTAAGGAAGCTCAATGAGCTCAGTGAGCATGGAGAGAATTACCAAAAACTACAGGGAAACTACAAGGAACTTACTGCACACCATATAAGCATGAAAAAGGACACAGAAACCATCACTAAGAGACAAGAGTAAATGAAGAATACAATTTCTGAATTGAAGAACACAGCAGAAGGAATCAAAAGCTGGCTAGATGAAGCCGAGGACCAAATCAGCGAGCTGGAGGAAAAGGGAGAAAAAACTCCAAGGAAGAGCAAGAAAATGAAAAAAGACTAAAAAAATGAAGAGGCATTTAGGGAAATGAAGGACAACCTGAAACATAATAATATCCATATAATCAGGATACCAGAAGGAGAAGAGGATGTGAAAGGGACAGAGAACATACTTGAAAAAGTCATGATGGACAACTTCCCTAACTGGAGGAGAGAAAAAGTCAAACAAGTCCAGGAAGCACAGAGGGTCCCATTCAAGAGGAACCCAATGATGCCCAGTCCAAGACACATCATCATTAAAATGGCAAATATCAAAGACAAAGAGAGAATCTTAAAGGCAGAAAAGGAGAAACAGGTAGTAACAACAAGGGAGCCACGGTATGGCTAGCAGCTTACTTCTCAACAGAGACACTACAAGCCAGAAGGGTATGGCAAGAAATATTTCAACTAATGAAAAGCAAAGGCCTGCAACCAAGATTGCTCTACCCAGCAAGGCTCTTAATTAAAATGGAAGGTGAAATAAGGAGTCTCCCAGACTAAAGAAGTATAAAGGATACACCTCCACCAAACCAGCACTGTAAGATATGCTAAAGGGACTGCTTTAAGGAGATGGAGAAAAAGAGGAATACAGGTTCAAAAGGAGAAAATGAGTACATGCATATCAATAATAACTATAAGTGTAAATGGATTAAACTCTCCACTCAAAAGACATAGGGTACCTAAATGAATAAGAAAACATGACCTACACATATGCTACCTACAAGAGGCTCACCTCAGAACTAAGGACCTTCACAAACTGAAAGTAAAGGGATGCAAAAAAATATTCCTAGCAAATGGAGAGGAAAAGAAAAGATGGAGTAGCAATACTAATATCAGACAAAATAGATTTCAAGACAAAGGCCATAAAAAGTCACACAAAAGGACATCACGATACTCAAGGGAAGAATCCATCAAGAAGACATACACATTGTAAACCTATACGCACTCAATAGAGGGGCACCCAAATGTATAAGGAAAATATTTGAAGACTTCAAGAAATATATAGATTGCAACACACAGATAGTAAGGGATTTTAACACCCCACTCTCAACAGAGGATAGCTCTTCCAATCAAAAAATCAACAAGGATATTATGGAAGTGAATGACACATAGATCAAATGAATTTAACTGACATATGTAGATCTTTCACCACAAAGAAGAAAATACACATTCTTTTCAAATGCACACAGAATATTTTCAAAGATAGACCACACAATAGGATACAAAAAACAAGCCTCAACAAATTCAGGAAAATTGAAATCATAACAAGCATATTCGTGGACCACAAGGGCTTGAAACGAGAAACCCACCTCAAGGAAAAAAGTCAATAACATTCAAATTCATGGAGACTAAATAGCATCCTATTAACATTGAGTGTGTCAATAATGAAATCAAAGAAGAAATCAAAACATTTAAAGTAACACACTACAGTCCAAAACCTATGGGACACAGCAAAGGCAGTCCTGAGAGGGAATTTCATAGCAATACAGGACTACCTAAAAATGGCAGAAACACTTCAAATAAACGACCTTACCCTACATCTTCAAGGACTGGAGAAACAACAACAAAGAAAGCCCACAGCAAGTAGAAGGAAGGAAATAATCAAGATCAGAGCAGAACTGAATGACATAGAGACA